CTTAATAGTGCTTATTACTCATTAGCTTCCAGGTGTGGGAGAACCATTGTAGTTACTGGCCTTGGAAATTATCAAACTTCAGGGACGCCATGTGGGTCCTCCGCCTGGCTGCAGCAACCTGGGGCAGCCCCAGACGGGGAGTGTCTGGGACTCAAACTGCCATTGAGCATAGGGAGCAAGAGCCTGTTGGACCGTGCCACTGGGTCAGGTCTGGATTTGGGCTCTGGCAGTGGCATCCCGTTCCCAGGGCGGGGACCGGGGAAGAGCTGGCTGCCGTTGCTTGGAAAGTCCTTGCTGCACTGTGACCAGCTTCTATATGTGGCAGCCTCCATGCAGCTTCACGCACCCTCCGATAATGAAAAGTATTTAGTAGTAGCCTTTTGCAATTCCTTTCTTGATAATCCTTCTTCCTCTGAACTTTTTTCTTCTTTCTGACTAGAGTTCCTGGGCTTCTATCAACACATGTCCTAACTATTCTTGGTTCCACTGGGGTGCCTCTTTCCCTTAGTAATTTACTTCTCACCCCTTCCATATTTTCATCACAAACACAATACAATACACTTAGACAAAACAAGACACAAACATATTGCATCAATCTTCTCCATTTTCTGAAAATGGCCATTTTTCCTCTTGCCCTATCTGCCTAGGGACGAGCAGATTTGCTCCCGTCCTATCTAGAGACGGGCAGCTTTTTCTCGTCAACTTACCCCGGAGTGTCTGGGGGCTCCCCAAACTGGCCACCAAATGCCTCTGTCTGGCTGGGCACAAATCACGAGTCACTGAAGCAGGAACAAACTTTATTTTTGAACTGCAAGAAAACACTTCACACACGCTCCCGGAGAATTCTCTCGAACACCATGCAGCTCGTCCAGGAACCCGAAGCTGGAAATATTTCTCCCGGAAATCCCTCCTCCTGCACTTCCCCAACCAATGGGAACTCTTGGGGAATCCTCGGGAATCCCCACAAGAACTCCAAAGTAGTAGCCGAGGGGATAATAATGCCTCACCTGTCAACCAATACTGTTGGCAAAATGCCAAGGGCCATACAGACTCGGCCGTGGCTCTCAGCACAATAGTCTGGGTAGTTTAAACCACTAAGTTTAGTTTTTCACAGTTCTAGAGGCTGTAAATTCAAGATCAAAGTGCTGACAGAATTGTTTTCCTGAGGCCTCTCTCCTTGGCTTGAAGATAGCTGTCTTCTCTCTATGTCCTCCTGTGGCCTTTCCTTTGAGTGAACACACCCCTTGTATCTCTTCCTCTTTTTATAATGGTAGCCAGTTCAATCAGAGTAGGTCCACATCTTTCTCTGTCCTTATTTAACCTTAACTACCTTACAAGGTAGGCCCTATTTTCAATTTGTAATGCCACCGGAGTTAGAACTTCATCATTTGAGTTTGGAGAAAAAAGAAATCAGTCACAACAGATTTGTCAAGCCTACAATAATATAAAACCTTTACAGAAGTTTTTTGAACCCTGTGGATATATATAATCAACTATAATATATCAACATTCTACATGGTATACTGATTTCTAAAAGATATAAAACTGTGAAATTACTACCACATAGTCAGAGTGTATTGACATACAGAGAAATTATCTGTTGTGTAATGGATGAATTATTTTGCAAAAACTGATGAATGGAAACTTTTTTCCCCTGGAAATGGAAAGCCACAACATCATTTGAAGATAATTCTATGGCTTCTCTAATGAGTAATTATTTTGTAGCAAACAGTATTTTGATCACCTGCTATTTATGCTGTCCTTGAGGGAGGAATAGTACAAGATAACTGAACACACGGCATCTGACACTGGCCAGACAATCAACAGAAGTTTATTAGTGGTGCACAGCCCAAAGTTATGTGTGTGTTTTACTCAGAGGACAGAGGCACAGTGTGAGGGAGGCAGGCTTTGTAATAGCAATAGCATAAGAATTCTTCCAGTTCCACTGAGAGGATGTGATTGGCTTTTTCATACAAAAGGCAGGTGAAGCCCTTTAGGTTGAGGACCAGATAGATACATTTGGTCCATTCAGTAAGGAAAGCCCAATGCCCAGTGGTGTAGTGGGGCCCAGGGACAGGGGAATTCCCAAATAAGCGTTTAAGGGCCTTTGAAGCTCAGAGGCTCAAAAATGTAAAATCAGCCTTACAATTTTAGTTCTTACAATATGCGTAACAGGCATAAGGAACTAGATCTGGCAAGGAAAGATTCTCTGTTAGTGCTAATCAAAATAGCATTAATGAAGTGCAGACTATAGCTAACTTACCTTATACTGTTTGCAAACTTACCTTGCAGGTAGCAAATCCTCATTATACCTGCCTTTACACATAGTCACTTATAAACTAAATATTAAAACCCTTAACACCCTTGATCAAATAGTGGCCATCTTACTGAATTTTGTGTATAGACAACAATGGAACAGTTTGATGTAAAGAAAATTCTATGTGCTGGGATGTGGATATAGCTCAGTTGGTAAAGTGCTTTGCCTCCCATGGGCAAGGCCCCGGGTTCAATCCCCAGCACCACCACCAAAAAAAAAAAAAAGAAAGAAAAAAAAATTCTGTGTGCGCCAATTGGTTTTGATTTGGAGTAACCTAATGGAGCGCTATGTGTTGACTAACTGGGCTTGTTTATCTAGGAAGTAGCTATCATTTTCCTCTCACCTAGTGCTTACAATTTATGAACTTTGTTAACAGAATTTCTTTTCCTTTCAGTTTTTTTTAATGGCATTCCCAGTCAGCTACTAGGCTCTGAGAATGCATAAAACACTGAGATGGCTTCTGCATCATTTTCTGTGCTTTGTCTACAGGTTAGGAAGCTGAACAGGCTCAGAAAGTCCAGTGCCGAATGCATCTTGGGTGTTAGCATGGTGGGTGTCTCTTGTGAATCCAACTCCAGCTGAGTGCACATGGCCTGACAGAAGCCAAACCCAGCTTAACTGGACAGAGCACTCTGCACTGTTTAGCTCAGAGGGCCCAAGTGTACACCTGTGGGCTTAATAGCATGGGCTTAGGCTTCCAGGCAGTAGACATTCTGCCATGAACTCAGTAAGTAAAACGTCAAGGACTATTTAGAAGTAAAATTATTAGATTATGAGAGCTGTAACCTAATCCAGTCCATCCCACTTTGATGGACAAGCTGTTTGTTGGTAACTGTAAGCAAATAGGATGTGGCTGGAGGAGGTAGGTCACTCGGGGCATGTCCTGGAAGAGGTTATTCTTAATGTAGCCTTTCTCTGTGTTTCCTGATCCCACCATAGGTAAGCAGTTTTTCTCTGCTGGGTCCTTTCCCCTGACAAGTTGCTGCCTCATCTTGGACCCTGAGAAATGGAGTCAGCTGTCTATGGAGTGAAACCTCTGAAACCATGAGCCCCAAATAAACTTTTCCTCCCTACATTGTTCTTGTCGGGCATTTTGGTTACAGCAACATAAAGGCTAACCTTACAAGAAGAAAATTGTGGAAATTTATAACCCTACTATTCTCATTATTTAAGAATCAAATCCAGGTACAGCTGTTCTATATCCTTAATGGCTCAAGTTCCAGCAGAGAGGGTCTGCCTTGGCCACCAAAACCAACCAGAAATAAGGGATAATGATCCATCCTTGTCAACACTTACTATTTTAATTTGTGTGTTTGTGGGGGTGGGTACTGGGGATAGAACCCAGGGTCTCACATATGGAAGGCAAGTGCTCCACCACTGAGCTAGACTTCCAACCCTTTTTATTTTATAACTTGCTCAGGCTGGCCGCACCCATGCAATACTCCTCAGCCTTCAGAATTGCCGGAATTACAGGCGTGCATCACTGTGCCTTGCAATGATTTAAATTTTTTCCGCCCTCTTTAATTTTAATACAATATTTTAATAAGCATAAATTTTACTTATGATGAAGCCCAAATTATCATTTTTTAAAAAAATATTTTGTTAGTTGTAGATGGACACAATAACTTTATTTTATTTATTTTTATGTGGTGCTGAGGATTGAATTGTGTCTCACACATGGTAGGCAAATGCTCTACCACTCAGCCACAACCCCAGCCCTTATCAGTTTTTTTTAAAAAATAGTGCCTTTTGAGAATGTGCTTTCTCTCAGGCTGTGAAAATACTGTTTTCTTTGAGAAGCCTTATGGTTCTAGTGTTTATATTAATGTTTATAATCCATCCATGTTTATATTAATGTTTATAATCCAAATTAATTTGGGGGGTATGTTGTGAAATAAAGGAATAAAAGTTCTTTTTATTTTTCTTGTTGACCATACACTCTTTTTATCATGGATATCCATTGGCACCTTTGTGATATATTAACTTATTACATATCTGTGGGTCTTTTTCTAGACTCCATTTTGTTCTATTGGTCTATTTTATGCCAATACCATACTGCTTTAATTATGGTAGCTTTATAGTAAGTCTTAAATTAGATAGTATAACTCTTTCCACTTTATTCTTCCTCCACATTTTCCCAACTATTTTTGGTCCTTTGTTTTGCTATAAAACTTAAGAATGAACTTCAATTTTTATCCATAAATTATTATTTTATCAAATCATTTCCTACATCTATTTAGAATGTTTATCTCATTTGTTCTACTAATTAGACTAGTTACTTTGATTTGCAAATATTAAACTAACTTTGTGTTGCTTGAATGAACTTCATTTGGTTGTGATATATTATCCCATTAGCTACTGGGCCCTTTCCAGCATCACCACTCTAAAGACTAAGCCTCCAACACATGAAAACTTGGGGGACACACTCAAGCCATAGGATGTTAAATTCACTTTTTAGTAATGAATTTTACTTGCTAATAAATGCATTTATGTTCTTTTTATATACATTATATGTATATATTTTAGTTGTAGATGAACACAACAGTATCTTTGTTTTTATGTGGTGCTGAGGATTGAACCCAGTGCCTCACACATGTGAGGCAAGCATTTACCACTGAGCTACAGCCCAGCCCTGCATTTATTGTCAGATCAGGTGAGGCAGGCAGCCACCAAAGGAGGCAGATTTAAAAGGGCCGCCAAACGAGACTTTATTGAGATATCACTCCTGAGCAGAACTTGATCAGATCCACAGAGTGGACAGGGGAAGGGTCTGAGGAGAAACCTCGTGGAAGCTCAACTGACTGGACTTTTATGGGGCTTACAACAGGAAGGGAAGGGCTTGGGACAGGAAAAGGTGTTTTGAGGGTCCCTTGTCCCCTTGGAGTTGGTCAGGGGAGTTGGCTGAACTCCAGGATTGGCCAGGGGGTCCTGCTGATTGAGAGGCATGGTTCAGAAGATCTCGCTGATTGACAGGCATTTCTGTCAGCACCTGATTGATGTTCCTTTCCCTCGTGGGCTGCTTTTCTAAGTTGCCATTAAGTTGCCACCACCAACCTAACATTCCAGCCTTTTTGGTGATACAGGGCAGCAAATTTCGTCTAGCTACTTCCTGCTTGTTTAGGGGTGTCACGGGGAGGGAGTGGCTTGGGTGTAGGTTCCGTGGGGAGGCGACTGTAGAGGTGTAGGAGCATCTGGTTGTAGGTCACTCTGGCAATTTCACTCACGTGCTTTCAAGCGAACCTGAGGAGGCAGGGAGCAATCATTAAAAGAAGTCCTATTACTAATATAGGAGTGAGAATGGGAGTCAGTCATGCAATGAGGGTTGAATTTAGCCAGCCTGGCCAAGGGTTTTTCGATGGTTGCTGTTTAAGCCTTTCACCCAAACGACTGAGGGTGTCAACATTCTCTTCGACCAATCCAGTTTCATTGATATAGTAGCAGCATTCTTCTTTCAGGAACAGACAGGTTCCTCCTTTGTCATCAGAAGATCTAGAGCTCGACAGTTCTGCAATGAGACTTGGGCAAGAGATGTTATTTGTCTTTGTAGGGAAGCGAGAGAAGCGGCTGATGCTTCTACTACTTCCCGAAGTTGTTGTTCAAGCTTCTGAGTAGTGGTTACTGCATAATCAAGTCCTCCTGCCCCAAGTTCAGAGGCAGCAAGGGAGGAGGCCAGGAAGAGTCCAACTACTACTGGTAGAAAGATGGCCCTTCTTGTCCTGGAAAGGGAGGTAGTAACAAGCCATGTTCATTCAGCCTCACTGTACAAGTTAATTGGGGGACCAAGATGGAAGAAACACAAAAAGCAAACGGCATGTTGAGGCTTAGATATTTTGTTAGGGTACGATTGCACCAGAAAAAGAACCCAGGTGGAGCAAAGGTTAAGGAAGAAATTCGAACAATCTGGTCACAGGGTGCTGAACCTGAGGAAGTGTAGCAGCAAGTGAAATTCCCTGATGAGTTACGAAAAAGAGGTACTTCCTCAAAGGCTGGAGAGGGAGGTCCTTGGGGTCTAGACGAGGTATTGAGCAGAAAATCAATGGGAATCACAGTTAATGGAGTACGATCCAAACCTGCGCAGAAAAACAATCTGAAATGTTATTCACTTTGGACAAATTGAGAAGCTGAAGGCCATCCATGAGAAAGGGTCAACTTTAGGATGGGCAACTGCATCCAGCTGGTGTTGGAGTTTCTTCCCTTGCTCCTGGATGGTTATGTGATTTTGAGGGAACCCTTTTATACAAAAGTTCTTCATATTCTGATAGAGGCTGAGCGATGCCTGGCAAAACCCCATGAATAAAATTTACCATCAACACTAGAAGCCCATTTCGGGTTTCATGGGTCCCAAATAGTTAATTTGGTGTATGCTCGATTCTCATAGCAAAGCTTATCTAGAAAGCATTTTTTGCATGAATTATAAGGGCACCTGCCATAGGTGTCAGGCCAGCGCTTACAAGATTCCTCAGTTTGGTCTGATATGAAATGTAGCATTGCTAAACATAAGTGGGATGAGGTAGCTCAGTTGAATCCAGTAACAAGGGTGACCGCCCGATTACAGCCAGTGAAAGGGCAATCACCTTGACCCATAAACTGAGAGCGGGTAGTGCCATCTTGTTGCCATGTCGCTTGGATGTAGAAGCGCCATCTGTGGGTTGGGATAGAAGCTTGAGAGAGATTAATGATTAGTAACAGGAGAGGGTTGGCGAGAAACTTTGAGTTTGGTGGGCCCCAGCATGGTGGAAGTATGACTGTCTGGGGTCCCTGTCCAGCGAGGTTCCAACGACTGAGGATGCAGCTGTCAAAGTAAGACTGTGTCACTCGGTTGAAGAGAGTCCAATTTAGTTCCTGGTTGTGTTGGGACAGAGATAACAGATGGCTTAGGAAGACACTGGTCTGCATGTTCCCTTAGGAGTTTGTATAGAAGTGTGAGATTAGGCAGGTAGGACACAAGGGGAGGAGGAGTGATTGGAAAGCTTTGGTTGATTAAGAAAGGGCACCCATGGAGTAGCTCAAAGGGGGGGGGGCTCTAGGGGTTGCCTGAATTCAGGTGAGGGCCAATGGCAAAAGATTGGGCCAGGACAGTCTGAGTTCAATAGCAAGTTTGGTGAGATGGTTCTTGAGAATGCCATTAGTCCTGTCAATCCTACCCGAGGATTGGGGTTGGTGGGGGTTGTGGAGCCTCCAGGTGATGTTGAGGCCTTTGGAGACTAGCTGAATAACCTGAGAAATGCAGGCTGGACCGTTGTCTGACTGGATAAAGGCAGGAAGTCCGAACTTGGGAATGATCTGCTCAATGAAGATGGAGGCGACAGTGTCAGCAGTTTCCCTGGAGGTAGGGAAGGCTTCTATCCAACTGTAAGAGAGTGCTATCCCCAAGTCACAAGAAGTTAAATCCTGTATCAAGGCCTGACCAAAGAGGTAGGGACTGCGCCTGAAGCCTTGGGGTAGGACTCTCCATGTCAGCTGTTGAGACCTAAAGGAGGTAGGGTCTTCCCATGTGAAGGCAAAGAGGTAATAAGAGCCAAGATGCAGAGGCACTGTAAAGAAGGCAGCTTTAAGATCCAGGACAGTAAAGTGAGTGGTCAAAGGGGGAATATGAGAAACAAGAGTGTGAGGGTTGGGAACCACCGGGTAGATGGGAATAACTGCCTCATAAATTAGGCAGAGGTCCTAGACTAAATGATAGGCTCCTGAGGGTTTGCGTACCAGCAATATGGGAGTGTTGTGGGGGGAGTCTTGAGGATGTGAAGGAAATTTAGTTTAGTGTTTCAGCTGGATACGAACTGGCTTGTGGTGGAAGGATATGACTGGCGTAGAGATGTCCCAGACCTGGGGATCAACTAGATCAGGGGGCAATGGCACAGTAGGTTTCGGCACCAAGATGTCAGATCAGGCAGGGTGAGCAGCCACCAAAGAAGGCAGATTTAAAAGGGCCACCAAATGAGGTTTTATTGAGATATCACTCCCAGGAGAAACTTGATCAGACCCACAGAGTGGACAGGGGAAGGGTCTGAAGAGAAACTGCGTGGAAGCTCAACTGGACTGAACTTTTATGGGGCTTACAGCAGGAAGGGAAGGGCTTGGGACAGGAAAAGGTGTTTTGAGGGTCCCTTGTCCCCTTGGAGTTGGTCAGGGGAGTTGGCTGAACTCCAGGATTGGCCAGGGGGTCCTGCTGATTGAGAGGCATGGTTCAGGAGATCTCGCTGATTGACAGGCATTTCTTTCTTTTTTTTTTTTTTAATTTAAATAGTATATTTATTTACACTAACCACATAGATACGTTAGAATTAAAAACATTAAATTTAAATACCAGGGGCATACATATTTTGCAACTTCAAAGTTCTTATCCTTTTTATTAAATTAATGTACACTACTAGAGCTAAATTGTGTCTAAAAGATAATTGTGGGGAAATTATGTGAGCTTTAAATCACATTTGCTTCCAAAGATAACTTTTATGAATTTGTAATTTTAAATAAAGATCTTAATACACCCATGTAAGTTTCTTAATTTAGTCAATAAATACTTTAACTTGAATACTGTGTATGAGGGAAAATAATGATCTGCCGTCAATGAACACATAATAGCAAGCCAAGAAAGACAATGAAAAAACATTTTTGATAAAATACTTAAAAATGTTTTTTGGATACTTCCTCTCATCAGAAAGGAAGAGAAGAACCAGCAGAGAGAGATATTGTCCTATAACTTTTTCTTATAAGGGACTTAATGTGAAAAGCCACGCAAACTAAGCAGCATAAAAAATATAGCGACTTTAAAAGAATATTAATGAAAACTTACAGTTATTCATACTTGTTAATTTTTTAATTCTATAAATATCCTACAATTGTTTTGAAAATATAACTATCCTGTCCTACCAGTCCTCTCCCCACTCATGGAGAAATTTTTATCTACTTTATCACATCAGTTTCTTTCTTTTCTTTTTTTGATCTTGACATATCATACATTTGATTCAAATAGGGTATGAATTCTCATTTTTCCACATGTACAGATTGCAGGATCACATTGGTTATACATCCATGTGTATACATACAGCAATACTAGTGTCAATACTGCTGCTCTCCCTATCCCCCCTCCCCTCCCCTCCCATCACCTCTCTCTACCCAATCTACTGTAACACTTTTCTCTCTCTCTTGTTTCCCTATCCTCTCACATCATCGAATATGTATTTTATGTAACAATAAGGGTCTCCTTCCATCTTCCGTGCAATTCCCCTTCTCCCTCCCATTCCCTCCCATCTCTCTTCCTTGTTTAGTGGTAATCTTCTTCTCATGCTCTTCCTCCCTACTCTGTTTTGAGTCATCTCCCTTAAATCAGAGAAGATATTCAGCATTTGTTTTTTAGGGATTGGCTAACTTTGCTTAGCATAATCTGCTCTAATGCCATCCATTTCCCTGCAAATGCCATGATCTTGTTATTTTTTTAGTGCTGCATAATATTTCATTGTGTATAAATGCCACATTTTTTAATCCATTCATCTATTGAAGGGCATCTAGGTTGGTTCCACAGTCTAGCTATTATGAATTTTGCTGCTATGAACATTGATGAAGCTGTGTCCCTGTAGTATGCTCTTTTTAGGTCTTTTGGGTATAGTCCAAGAAGGGGAATAGCTGGGTCAAATGGTAGTTCCATTCCCAGCTTTCCAAGAAATCTCCATAGTGCCCTTCAAATTGGCTGCACCAATTTGCAGTCCCACGAGCAATGTACAAGTGTACCTTTTCCCCCATATCCTCACCAGCACTTGTTATTGTTTGACTTCATAATGGCTGTCATTCTTACTGGAGTGAGATGGTATCTTAGAGTGGTTTTAATTTGCATTTCTATGATTGCTAGAGATGGTGAGCATTTTTAAATCAAAGGCAGTCCCTCTAAAATCTGGAATAAGACAGGGATGCCCTCTCTCACCACTTCTATTCAACATAGTTCTCAAAACACTGGCCAGAGCAATTAGGCAGATGATAGAAATTAAAGGCATAAAAATAGGAAAACAAGAACTTAAATTAGCACTATTTTCAGATGACATGATCCTATACCTAGAAGACCAAAATGTTCTACCAAGAAACTTCTAGAACTAGTAAATGAATTCAGCAAAGTGGCAGGATGTAAAATCAACATAAATCAAAGGCATTCCTGTATATCAGTGACAAACCCTCTGAAATGGAAATGAGGACAACTACCTCATTCACAATATCCTCAAAAAAATAAAATACTTGGGAATCAACCTAAC